GGGCCCTGGCAAAGTGCTCTGGTCACAGTAATTTCCCACATCAGGAATGGCCAGCACAGAAAGCAACAGATTTCTAGGAAACCTCTTACACACTAGAGCCTGCCTCAAGAGCTTGGGAAGCAGGACAAGTTTTCTTCCTCTCTGTCATTCCTTTTATAGTGACAAGCAGTATCTCCAAGCTATCAGATGAATCTGCTTCATGACTAATTCTTCTACAGGCTGCTGGGAAGTGTAAAGCATGACTTGTTTTATTGATGCCTTGGTGATGTGAGAGAGTAGCACTGGTCACCTCCAGCAGTTCAGACTTTTCTTTTTGATGTGAGATGGTTCTTGGAATTGAAAGTCCTTTATGGGGGCCACAAATGTGTGCCCACTAAAAAGAGCTCTGGGACACAGTCCTCTTAAGTTTCCAGTCTTCCTTCAGAAGAGTCTTCCACATAATAAGGTCTCTTTCCAAAGCATTTCACTAAAACTCTGGGAAAGGACAGAGCTACGTTGTGGTTTTTTGGCTCACTTTTAAACAATTTTCCTCTTGATATGAGCTGCTCTGTGCTTAGGTTGTTACATCACAGGCATCCCAGACTTTGGGAAATGTGGAAGGGATGTGTAGCCTTTGTGTTTGCTGACTCAGCACTGAGACTCTTAAGACTCTATCTATCTGTTTTCAATAGCTTTATTAAAAATAGTGACAATAATGTGATTTACCTGGTCTCTTCCCCTTCATGATAAACAACTTCCTGTGGGTTAATGCACAAGGTCTGGAAACTTTGGTAAACCCTTTTCAATTAAAGAAAATACCAACCAAAAGCTTACCAAAGGTAAGCCGTCTTCAAGTCATCACAATTTCTTTATGGTCTCCAAATGTCAAAGAGGTATTAGAAGAACTGCAACAATTGAACTACAGAGGAGGAAACTGGAACAGTCCTCTTTCCTAAAGGAGCAAGACTGGTGTATGCTGGATTGGACCAAACCTTTAAATATATTCAGAACAGAATGAAGAATAGGAAGAGAAGGACTGAGGCATGGTAGGAGAGCAAGTTGCCCTTGGGTGGCTGCTTTTCTCCTGTTCAGTGGTTCTCCTGTGCTGTCTGTTCAAGCACTAAACATCTGTAACACCTTCTTCCTGATAACACACAACTTTTCCCACAACAGAGGGAAACTATTTACTGGAAGGCTCAGTCTGCAAAAGCACATGACATGATGTATTATGTCTCAGATCACTGTGTCATTGATAGGCAAGGACAGTCACAGGAAAGACACCATATGTTTACAGAGGGATTGTTCACCTTTTGTGCCTCTAAACCAGGTGCAAAGCCCCAGAACAAACTCTGCAGTGAAGAAATAACTTTAGCTCTCTCAGTAGGAGCACAGAGAGTCTTCATCACTTCCCTGTCCCTGTTCCTGATGCTGTTGCAAGAGTCAGAATTCATTGTCTTGATTGCAGTGTTTGAGAAATACCCATAAAAATCAGCCTATCCTCTGACATGTTCTTGATATTAGGAGTCTGTCCATTGACTTCTAGGGACTTTGGCTCCAGTTCTGTCCATGTGGCTTGAAAAACAGTGTGAAATACCACATATTAGGCATTTCTGGTCAAGTGTGGAAAGGGAGGTGGGGGGAAAACAATCAAAGGAGGAGGAAAAGAAAGCATCCATGTTGTAGTAGGGCTCATTCTTCTGCTTGTGTCTTTGTATTTAATTGTATTTTACATGCACTTAAAAAATAGTTAGCTCAACAGGTGAGGCTGGGAAGAAAGATGCCAAGACCTCTCATAGACTGGGGGATGCTGAGACACTGGTTGGAAATGGAGAGGGCACGGAAGGGGACAGGAGAGGAAGCTCACACATCACAATTCTGGCACATTTTCCAAGCAAAAAACCAAAACCAGCTCAAATATCAAATAAAGAAAAACAAACAAACAAAAAAGGAAAATAAGGTGGATGTGAAAGGGAAGCAAAATACAGAATTTCTTTCAAATCCTGGGGATGAGGGAAAGAACAGGGTGGAGCAAAAATGGAAATGCCTAAATGGGAATTTGGGAAGGGTTAAGACACCAATCTCATGGCACTTCCCATTTCCCCAAAGTGTTTCATTCTCAGTGTCTCTGAGGTGTTCAAGTTTTTCTTGAAAAATAGATATATATATTACAGATGAAAAACTCCGTACCAGCAAGAAGAAATAAAATACCAACAACAGAAAAACAACTCTCACGAAACAAAAACACAGCCCTGAAAACATCAAAAAGAAACAGGGTGAGTCTCAAGTTTCCCCTGTGGTGTTCCTCTGACTTCAGTAACAGTGCAGAATTACAACAGTTCACTTTGATACTTTTCTTTCTTTCTTTCTTTCTTTTTTTTCTTTTTCCTTTTTGAACAGCTTCCTCCTTCCACGTGCGCATGTCCAGGCAGAACAGCCCATCACTCATAACCACTTCCCTCCAAGCCAACAATTTGTCCTTAGACACCTACCATCCAGCTGTGAGTACAAGGCATGACAATAGGGTCCATGTTTATCCTTTGTGGCACTTTTGTTTGTCAAAACCTTTGGTTTCTTCCTTTTTTTTTTTTTTTAATTTTCCTTTTTTTGTGTATTTATAAAAAATATTGTGTTGTTTTTTGTATTGTTGTTGTCATTTTCTTAGCTCTGGCTCTGGTGGGATTTCCATCCCACTTTCACAGCCAGAATCAATGGATCTGGAATATGCGCCGACAGAAATGGATCAACAAAACCATGGCAGAACCAACCAAACCCAAACCATCCCCAATGCGCAGGCCTCTTAAAAATGCTGAGATGTCCATAAGGTGCATGATGAGTCCATCAGCTCAGCAATCAAACAGAAAGCAAACAAAATTAAAAAGGAAATAATACACACACACACACACAGATACACACACACGCACGAAATAATAATAATAATAATAATCATTATAATCAAGAGAGAAATGTCTGGGGTTTTGAAAACCAAGACGTGTTTGCTGTTTCAGTATGAATCTTGTGATATTCTTCCCACAGACACATCCAGGTTTGGACTGTTAGTTTTGAAAGACTTGCCTACGTGTGTATCTGCTTGGCTGAAGGAAACCCATGGGCTGACTGACTCCTGTTTGCACCACATCCCCCAGTAGACACACACAGAATCCATCACTCTAAAGAGGTTCTGGTTTCTTAGCAAGAGACATGAATAAAACCAAATGCACTCATTCTGTAACCAATTTACACGCCCTGTCTTTACCCTTTCCTCCCTCCAGGTGCAAAGTAGATCCAGGCTGTAGCTCTGAGGATGGTGTGAGATAGATGTGGGCTGCTTCTCCGTGCCATCAAGCTACTTCTCCATCTGCTAATGAACTCTGTTCATTACTGGGGAGATGAATACAGCCCCAGCTCTTGCCTCCGTGGCCTACAAGAAGCAAGGTTCTCCAGACCATGGTGTTATCCAGGCTGGCAGCTGTGTGATCAAAATAGCCAAATGCAGTAGAAATGCAGGATCTCACTCCTCTTTGGTCAGCCATGAAGCAGGTTGAGATGTTCTGGAGGATCTGAGCAGAGGATAGAACAGGGTAATCACCCACAACTGTCCCGTGGTGACAATGATCTCTGAAGGGATAGGACATGCAAAGAAAGAGCAAATCCTTCCCAGGCAGCAACTGTGCCTCCAGCAAGGCCTGTTGGTTCCAGAAATGGAGAAGAGGAAAGGCCAGGAGTTGGCACCAAAAGGCAGATGAGCTTACAGTGGTTGAAAGACCTTCAGAAGACATGCAGTTAGGCTAGGGGTATCTAGGTAGAAGAATATTTTGCAGTGTTTCATTTGAATTTCCTCCAAGATTGCCTTCCAAATTGTGTGGTGACATTTCCTCTTAGGAGTGGCTTTGAAGGAAAGTTTTACCATCAGTCCTATGCACCACCTTGCTTCATGACAAGCCCTTCAGTATCCTTCTGATATTCCACCATGAGAAAACAATAGCTTTGTTCCAGTTGAGGAAACAAAATGGAAAGAACTAACAGCTTTAAATAAAATCCCTCTGATTGGTTTTTGAGGCTGAGCTCCTTGCCTGGAACAAAAGGAGACTTGGGGCTCTTGCTTTCCAAGCTGACATGAGGAAGAGGGAGATGCTGTGTTGTCCATTGCCAGAAGGAACAGACCCACCACTGATGGGATGTTCTCTGCCACTGAGCAGAGAGCATTTTTGCTGTGGTGCTACAACCAACAGGACACAACAGGAAAGACAGAGGGGGACACAGGTCTCTTTGAAAAATAAGAATAACCATATGAAACACATGGGCAGGAGAGTGTTGGTCTCCTCCTCCCCTCTTGACCCTTCTCCTGCTCCAAGAGAGCAGCTAGACCACCTTTTGCCAAGGCAGGTAAGAGCCACAATGGTCCAACTCTGGACGGAGCTGTGGCATTTTCTGGGGAGCCTTGGGGTTCCTCTCCCAGTGGGTTACTCTCAAGAGATAGAGTTGCAATGGCTCTGCAGGAGAGGATCTCAATTTTCTGCTGCCCTCCAGGATCCCTGCAGGCAGGCTGCCTTCCCCTTGGGGAGACTTTTAGTAATACTGAGTTCGTTTCCAGGGCCTCTCCAGAGGCTACAGCCCTTGGAGGGCAGTTAAAGCAGCATGACAGAAGTTACCTCCCAATTCCCCATCTGCAGAGAGATGGTGGGATATTGGGGGAGGGTTTGTGGGGTTTTTTTTGAGTGTTTAACAGTTTTTCTCTGGGGCAAAGGCAGAGGGAAAGCTGTGAAAAGGAGAGCTCCACCTGAATGTCTTGATGTCCCCAGAGCCAAGATTCTTCTGCAGTCTTTTCTTTTAACCCCTGGGGCTTTGTCACTTTGTCCATAGATTTTGAAAGAGAAAGAAATGAGAGAGAAAGAGAGAGAGGGAAGGGCTGTTCAGGTGACTCTGCTTACAGCCGATCAAAACTTGCACTTGGTAAAGATGATGATCTTGAGTGAGGCACGACTTGGTTTATCCCTTCCAGGGTGTCCCTGGCAGGACAGTTCTCAGCTGTCTATGCTCATGAGGGTTATGACTTGTTCAAGTTTGTAGGCAAGTTTCTGTTTTCCAGCCTGATCATCTTGATCAAGGGCTCCGAGAATCTGGAAAAGGAAAGAGAAAGAAGTGAGAAGGATTTTAGTTTGTTTTGCCTAAAAGGATTAAGTCCAGCATCTTATAGCAGCAGATGAGGGTTAGCTTTCTCTAAGGTAGGTCCCATGATTAGCTTAGATGATGCAAAGCAGGTCAGCCAGCCAGCAGAGAGCAAGGCAAGTAGTTTGGGGTTGATCTGTCTAAATGCAGACCTCTGGATTGTAACCAAGGAAATGAATTATTGGATTCTTATTCCTTGATAGAATCACAGAATCACAGAATCCTAGGGGTTGGAAGGGACCTGGAAAGGTCATCTAGTCCAACCCCCCTGCCAGAGCAGAGTCACCCAGAGCACATCATACAGGAACGTGTCCAGGGGGGTTTGAATGTCTCCAGAGAAGGAGACTCCACAGCCTCTTTGGGCAGCCTGTCCCAGGGCTCTGTCACTCTCACAGGAAAGAAGTTCTTCCTGATATTCACATGGAAAAAGCAGAGATGCTTTCTGGTGTGTGAAGAAACAAGGTGATGCAGATTTCAGACTGCTGCTGTGCTGCAGGGAGATGGACCTTCCTGGTGGAAACTCTGGCCTCTGAAACAACATTGTCCATGAGACCTTGAACATACAAGTAAATACTTCAAAACCAAACCTGCAAGGAAGAAGCCCCAACTATTACCTGATAATCAGCAAGTTATTCAGAGATTCTCTTCACTTTTCCTATAAGCACATATCATTTAAACCCAGAGTACTCCTTTCCCAGACTGCTAGTGTCTACATCACTGTTGCAGTGTAGATAGGTATCTGTGACACGTGTTGGGCCCTGGGAATGGGTGAGCTGTGCCATGGTCCTGCAGAACTGCTCTTTCCCCTGTGGGGCCCTTACCTCCTCGCTGTACTTGCCAACGTAGGAGTAGATCTCTGAGAGCGCGCTCATAGTGTTGAACTCGTTCATGTGCATGCGAGACTGCTCAGCCAGGTAGGCATTCATGTCCTGGTCACTGATTGCTGGCATCTTGGCGATGTCTGAATAGTACCTGAGGGAGAGAAATAGAGGTGATTCTTGAGGGGAGAGGGTAGGAAGTCAGGAGCTGATTATCCACCGGTGATAAGGAGAAAGGACATGCTTAGTGCTCTTGGGCTTTTCTGATGCCTCACGGATAAACCTGGTCACGCTCTTCTTCTGCATCAAAGCAGATGACTGAGCCAAATGCAAAAAATTAGACTGAACCACTATTCCGTAATACCAAATGTGTGTTGTAATCACTCAGCTTCTTTACTGTGAGAGTGACAAGCTGCCCAGGGAAGCTGTGGAGTCTCCTTCGCTGGAGACATTCAAACCCACCTGGACACATTCCTGTGTGATGTGCTCTGGGTAATCCTGCTCTGGAAGGGGGGTTGGACCAAATGATCTTTCCAGGTCCCTTCCAACCCCTAAGATTCTGTGATTCTGTGAACTGTACTCTGAGACAGAAACCTCAAAAAGCATCCTGTAAATGTTCTCCATGCCATATCAAAGTGGGCAGAATCTCATGATGCTGGATTCCTTCGTCAGACCTTCAAGGGCTTTAAGCCCTGCCTCTAGTCCCACAAAGAATTCCCACTGACCTTTCTGCCCACTGAGACCTCAGGATTTTTCTCCCATAGATAGAGAAACCTCCCCTTTGCATGCTTGCTTGCACCACTCACACTAGTACATCTGCATCCACTGCTACCACCATCCATCTCTCCCACTGAACCCAGTATATCCCAGCAAGTCCTCTGCTGCTCAGCATTGCCCTTTTGCCCCAGATTTCAAGCTGACTTGATGTCAGTTTGTGGCAACAGGCTTCAGCACTCCCGTCCCCACTCTGGGGAAAATTTGCTTTCCTGAGAAGTCAACACCATTCCCTGTGACATCACAACAAGACTGGGACCTTATCCATGGGATATGGACCCCCCAGACCCATTCATTGCCCATCAGGCTCCATCAGCAGAGTGATGTCTCTTTAAGGAAGTTGCTATTTTCGATGTCCTTCATCCCCTGGGTAAAGGAGGTCTTGGAGGACAAGGTTTGCAGAAGGTAATCAGTCACTGTCACTCGCAGCTGTGCTCTGCTGTCAACTGGTTAATTAGGCTCCATCATTTACATTTTTAATTTCTGCAATTTGACATTTTGTGCAGAAGGAGGAAAAAAAAAAGGAAAAAAAAAAAAAAATAAAAAAGAAGCCCAAAGCTGCAGCAAATCCACAGCTTTATAATTAGGATGCAGAGGGGACGGGGAGCCAAAAGAGCTGACAGGTGTCTTGTAAACAGTGCTGAGACACCTGCTGAGATGGAGGCTGTTTTCCACTGCAGAGAAATTGGACACTGAAGTGCTGTGTGATAAGAATCCTTCAGACAGAAAAGTGGGAAAATGCTCTCTATGAGAGAGTGGGGCAAGCAGCTGCTGAAGTGTCCCATGGAAGACAGCACAGTGTAAGAGGACTGTGAGGAAACCCCTCCACAACAGAAGGCTCCAGCTTTGGTCAGTCAGGTGGTAGTGGTAGGATGAGGGGCAATGGCCTTAAACTGGAGCAGGATAAATTTAGATTAAACATTAGGAAGAAGTTCTTTACAACGAGGGTTGTGAAGCACTGGAACTGGTTGTCCAGAGAGGTGGTGGAGGCTCCATCCTTGGAGACATTCAAGGTCAGGCTTGACCAGGCTCTGAGCAACCTGATCTAGTCAGTGTCCCTTTACACTGCAGGGGGGGGCTGGACTAGATGACTTTTAGATGACCTTTAGAAGCCCCTTCCAACAACATACACTCTATGATTCTATGATTCTGTCTTGCCTTCTGGGCTCAGAAGAAGCCAAAAATCCTAAGTCCCAAGGTCTAGATTTTGCCCACACCCAGTACTCCAATGATGAGCAGTCTGGGATTGATTTTGCTTTACAGTCTGCCTGGCCCTCAACCCCCAAGTGGACCAGAACAGTTGTCTATGAGTAAAGCAGACATCTAGTAATCCTGTCATGACCTGATCAGCAGAACTGCCTCCAGAAGAAGAGAGTGAGCAGGATGAATAAATATTTCTAGACTTTTGGCACTCCCAGAAAACCTTGAATGATTCTCAGCATAAGCCACTGAACAAAACCTGACCTGTGCTCCATGGACTTCTGACAAAAGAAAACACCAGGAAACTGGTGGCATCCCTATCAGTGATATTTCAAGTTCCTCACAGCCAAAGCACTTTGCTGAGAAACAAGAAGTTTTAGAGCCAAAATGCAAGATGTGCCTTGGCACCTAAAGAGAACTGCATCCATGTGCCACGAGCACAGCTCATAATCTTGTGGGGAAAAACAGCCTGCAATGCAGTGAAATGCATTGATTGATGGTGCCTGTGAGGAGCCTGTGGAGAAGAGCCCAGATCCTCATGAATATTACATAGGCACCTTCCTACTGGGTGAAATGGAAAGTGAAGAGGATGACATCACAGTATAAATAAATTAGGCCAGTGGAGGAAAGCAGAGATACTGTGTTGGATTTGCCAGTCTGGCTGTGATGACCAGTTGAAAAGTTTCTTTTTCTCTCTCTTTCAGCTGGTCATCAAATGGTGGGCAGGACAGTGGGTGTATGAATAGGGTTCTTCCAGAAATTAAATACAGGCACATATATAATCTGTTTCTCCAAGGTTGTCCTGTATCCCTTTCACCCAGTAGCAACCCTCTCTGGAGTCCATGGTTCAGAAGGGTCTGAAAGCTCCCCAGTCCGTTTCCCACCCTGCAGAGATATTTCCCCAGCAGCATAACACTCCCATGACTCATCTGAACAACAACAAGCTGCACTAAAATTTTTTTTACTGTGAGAGTGACAGAGCACTGGAACAGACTGCCCAGGGAGGTTGTGGAGTCTCCCTCACTGGAGACATTCAAAACCCACCTGGATGAGTTCCTGTGTGATGTGCTCTAGGTGACCCTGCTCTGGCAGGGGGGTTGGACTAGATGATCTCTCGAGGTCCCTTCCAGCCCCTAAGATTCTATGATTCTATGATTCTAAATGCTCCCTGGTGTGATGGACAGGATGCAAAAAAAATCTGAATTTCAGGGCTTGGAGGCCTCTCCAGCCATGATAGAAGCTCAAAGTGCTATCTCAGTGTTCTGGGTTCATGGGCCATTACCCAGCACCACACCCAAGTGTTCTGGTCTGCCTTGGACTCAGTTCCCTGGCCACCACACACTTGGGCACTCATTCCCTTTAAGACTGCAAAGCAAGGTATTGTGGAAGCGTGTTTTGCAGGAAAAATAAAATAAAAAGAAGGGGGGGAAAGCATGTACTTCTAAGGAAAGTTAGCCCCTAGTGCAGGGGGAAGACATAATATCCTTCCATCACAACTCTGCTACGACCAAATGACTTCTTTCCACAGAAGTGTTTCTGATGAAGCCATCACTGGGCTATCTCAAGAAATTACAAATGTGTATATTAAAGCATCTTAGCAGGGAGATGACAACAACCCTGCTGAGTTTTTATTTTCTTTCTATTTGAGACCAAATCCTCTGAGGTACTTAAGGCCTTTCTGTCATTTACATACCCTTAATGTCTTCAAAACCACTGTGAAGCTGTCACCAAACCCCAGAGGTCCTCACATTTGCACTGCTGGCATTTGCAAGGCTCTGTGTGCTGCTTCCCTGTGCCCCTGCAGCTGACACCTCTCACACTGTAGCTGAACTAAGAGGCAATGCAGGGGGAATGAGATGCTTTTTCACCATGTTGCCCTTGTGAGCACCCCTACCTTAAGGGCCACCAGATCTCACCTGAGAGAGGTTGTTGCCTCACACTTCTACAGCCCCAGGAGCTGCTTTAGCCAGCAGGAGGTTGGGGATACAAGGCTAAGTCAGATTCCCTCTGAATGAGGCAGACAGGGAGCAAAGCAGCAAATCTAGTTTAGCTTGCATCCAAAGGTCGAGTTTGAAGTAGAAGAAGGTGACTACCTCTTGTAATGAGGGTCCCTGACTATAAGACACTGAGATGCTGGAACATGTCCAGAGAAGGGCAAGAAAACTGGAAAAGAATCTGGAGCACAAGTCTTATGAAGAGTAGCTGAGGGAATTGGAGGTGTTCAGCCTGGAGAAAACAGGCTGAGGGGAGACCTTCTCACTCTCTGCAACTGCCTGGGAAGAGGTTGAAGCCAGGGGGGTTTGGTCTCTTCTCCCAAGGAACAAGTGACAGGACAAGAGGCAACAGCCTCAAGTTACCCAGGGGAGGTTCAGATTGGATCTTGGGAACAATTTCTTCCGGGAAAGCATTCTCAAGCCCTGGCACAGGCTGCCCAAGGCAGTGGTGGAATCCCCATCCCTGGAGGGATTTAAAAGCTGTGTAGATGTGGTGCTGAGGGACGTGGGTTAGTGGTGGCCTTGACAGACTTGATGGTCTTAAAGGTCTTTTCCAACCAAACCATTCTATGATTCTGCTTGGTCAGATGTGCACCACTCGCTGTCCTGGTGCTGCAGATTTTCTGCTTCTTCTGTAGTCAAGTTTTGGTTATCTCCAGGGGATACTTTCCCAGGTGTTTCCAGAAGATCCTTAGATACATATCAAAAGATGCTGCCTTATGCGCTTGAGTTTCCTCTGAATCACAGGAGCAGCCTGAGCTCTTACCTCAAGGCTGTTCATTCTCTGATGTGGCAGGAAATTTGTTCCTTAGACTTCAGAAGCGATAAAACCTCCAAGAAATCTGGGTAAATCCATCACTGAGATACATCAGCAGCTCTGATGAAGGACATAAGGATTACTCATCTGTAGGATGTGACTTCATTGGTACCAGTAGCTCAATAACTCTCCCCAGAGTGACTTGAACAGAAGAGCCCATGACACCATCCACTGCCACTGCTCTACGGGAAGGACTGTGGATGTACCAGCATATAGAATCATCTTGGTCATAGAATCACTCTGGTTGGAAGGGACCTTGAAGATCATCAAGTCCAACCACAAATACAGTAGTGCAGCCTCTTCTTGTCAAAAAAGAATTGTTCTTGTACCTTTCACATCCTCCTCTTTTCCCGGGCTGTCTTTGGTGGT